CTTGTTGACTAAGAATCTTTTAAGAATTATATTAAGAAAATTTCATACTACTTCTGCAATGAAGATAAGTTGTAAGATGGTTTGAGAACATGGCGGGAAGTGCTTTTAGGCCACTGAAAAGTAACAATTAATTACATTATGGTAATACCATTTGAGTACTTATTATGTTTGGCGAGAAATACTCACGGGGAGAATATATATGACTGCCCATTTGAAAATAAACCTGATCCTTTGACTGCGGTAGGCACATATTTTCGCGCATCTACACATTGTTTAAAGGGTCTGAAACTTACTTCTGAATTGGCGACGACGAGGCCAGAGAAATGTACCAAAATTTCAAACAAAAGTGAATTGCTTTCCTTGTGTACAAGAAAGAAAGTGAATAAAACGGCTAAAGCATAAACTGGTTGAGAAATTCAAACCTTTAGATGATGAGAACTGTTTAGGAAGACTGTGTACTTCAATAGATTCCCATTCGGGATTCTGAAAGATATACCGATTACCAATGTTCAAAATCAAATTACTTCAATATTAGTGGCAACTTCGCTGACATAGTAGTCTGAATTTCCATTACTTAAAATGTTAACTTACAGCCAATATTATCTTGATTCACAGAACTTAGGGCGAAAGTCACCCCCACAGCCGATTCAAATTCATCACTGAAGGCGTCAAAGTTCCTTCCATAGACAGCTCGAAGATGTCTTAACCGCAACTAAGTACTATTAAAGTAATACACAACACTTACAATGAGGGAGGACATTACAATGCATATTAATTTTGCAAAGCGCACAGTATATTGTATCAGAACTACAATTCGACGATAAATCTGTCTGTATTTTTTTATTTATCTGGGGATATGAGTTTGTTATGTCGTATGACTGTGGTAGAGTACACCAGCAGGATAACCTTTAAAAATAACATCAGAATAACATGAATTTATGTAGTGGCAAGCACGTAAACTTACTCACCTGTGTATTAAACAAGTGATGAGTTTCGTGATTCACAAAGAATAAAATGGAAAAAATACGCCTTCGAAATAAACAACTACCTGCATCAACTTATAAGTGGCAACACATGTGACGCCCAAACCGAATTGTCGCTTTGTTCAATGGTATGTAACAAACATGTAGTATCGTATCAATACTGTGGCGATCATTTCTAGTCTGTCAATGGATAACACTGGGCCATAAAAAAACTGGATGCAGCAAAACTGACCATTCACCTAGAATATCCTTGTGAATGTAATGTATGAGCGAATACATGAGAGAGCACAGTGCGTTACTTCGGTGGGTGCAGTTTTTGTCCCTCGCATAGTGTTTGTGTGACTCGGAGAGTGTAAGTGAAGGGGATGTGGTTATCCCGGATCGGATGCCTGTGAAGTCGAGTGATTGATTTGACGACTTGTGGTGGTGTTAGCTGGTGTTTTAGCTAGTCAGTGGGGGAGATTCTCTTGGTGTTTTCTGAATGTGATTATTAGTCAGTGATAATGGGTGTATGAGGACGACAGGTGAAGGCGTGTGACTAGGTGAACAGTGCTTGATTTTGGTTGTCGTTTGCGCCTGGCTTTTGCCAGTCGACAAGTGAATGATGTCTAATTTTCCGAAATACTTGTGGTGAGATGGTGACAAATTTGGTGCATTTGTGTGGTAAGTCAGTGATATACTGGTGACATTATTTTGATTGACCTAGACTGCTGACACTGAATTCCCGGAGTTGACTCTGTGTGCTGACGGGGAGTTTTGTGTGACTGCGGCTGAAAATGGAGCTACGAAGAGGTTAGTTTTCTATCAGGACAAATTGTAGTTTATTATTGTTTATTATTGTCTTATTGAGTATGTGCTACGTGATGAGTGTATGACACCTCTTATGAGCTAGTGATTCGTGTTTCACACTGACTTCTTGTCTAAATTGGTTTTTCTGTCTGTTTTTCTTTCAGATGTCACCAGTGCACACTAGGTAAGCATGCCTATTCGAAATGCCATTTATGATGAACTGATTGCGTGTCATATGAACTTTGATTGATATGTACTATTAGTCTGATCGGAATTCGCACTGTTTTGTGTTGTTAGTAGTTTAGCTACATTTCAATGCTATCGTTAGAACGACAAGTCTTGTTGCTAAATATTTATTGAGTTTTGTTTTGCATTGTTTCCTAGTTGGGTTGGAACATGTTATTTTGGAGTTGTTGTTCTCGTGACGCTGAGGGTGTATGTGGACGGATGGGGCTTTCCGTTTGGCGCCTTGTAAGCTGGAATGGTTCCTACGAGTTGATAGTGCCACTCCATTCTGGCAGTCTGTGTGGAGGAGTATAAAGGAAGAAAAAGTATGATGATGCTTGTGATAAACAATGTTTAGTCGAATGTACAAAGCAATGTGAAATATAGATATTATTTGGAACGAAACCAGTTTTGAATTGTTGTCGTTGTTTATGGGGCTATGAGTCGAGGCTATCCATGTTAGTGTTGACTTTGTGACAGTTTGGTTTTTTCATATGTTAATTAAAGTCATAGCGTTTGGAGATGACTTTTGTTTCCGAAATGAATGGATTGAGAATATATTTATTATGTTTCTTTTGTGAGAGTTGAACTTACTCGAATGCTTCTTTTGAATTCTTCAGTTTGGTAGAATATTTCCGATGATGCGCATATCTGTTGGGGTCGGTGGTGTGGCTGCTTCCCCAATCTGGGCGTTCTAGTGCTCCAATAACTGTATGACGAAAAGGACAGAGAGTCAAACGGATGACTAGATCCGAATTATGTTTAAATAATAATGATAATATAGCTTTATTTCAGACAATATGCGAACATATGGTACAAAAGTTTTCGGTGCATTCAGTTCCGAAATACGTTTTTCTTCATACAGGATATACATGTAAATTAATAATCTGAAGTATGTCATCATTTCGTTGAGGTAATGCACAGCATTTTCTAAGCACAATATGTTCACCTCTCCTACCGGAGATGAAATAGGTGTTACGAAGACTCGGATACAAGGCACATGGCAGCGGTTTCCACGTAGTACTGAGACTGTATATCAGCACAACTCCAAATGGTTTCTTTGACTAAAATGTACTCACTGAGAAGCACTCTCATGACATTCTCCCGGAATAGGAAGCCGGCAAATAAGGGAAATATTGACCACCATGAAAGAAAGGACTAGTTTAAAAAGTCATAGAGACATATGCACGTAGTGCAAGTGTAGCAGTGCAGAGGGAAACATGAGACGCCGAATGACATACATATCACATAAAGCAAAGTTGTGCAAGCTGAGACGAATCGGAGGTTGATAAGCGCAAGAAGATGAGCCAAAACTAGGTAGATGCTGAGCGAACACGGTGGGACGAATGAGGTTCTAGAGAAGCAGCTCAGGGGGAAAAAGTCAAAATCTGAAAAATGATGATCGACAGCTGTGTGTGGGGGATTATTGGAAGGGAAGGCGATAAGTACGAGCTCAGACTTCCAACAAGTGTCCACCAATCGACAGTGACAAATGCAAATATCTTAGGGAAACAATCAAGTTTGTCAACACTGGAGAGATTTCCAGGCAGGTTGAAGTGAATCAGGTAATAACGTGGCGGTGAAGGAATTTGACTGAAAGCCGTGAAAGGGAGAACAACTAAGGTAGTTTTTCATCGACGCTCCATACAAGTTCTAAATCACGAACTCCAGTGAACACACTTAACAGGCCGTTTGTTTGGCGCTGTGTCTTTGTTTCAACAAGGTCAACGCACAATTTTGACTGCGAGCTGCGTGAGTTGTTGCACGTTTGTTTTGGGTGTAGAGTTTTCTGTTGGTACCATATTATGAGTGATGACAAGCGAATAGTGCCTTGGATTGACGCCAATGAATTTAGTAATGTCGCCAGACATGTATCATCAATGAAGGTCTGTGAATTGGATATGGCTCGCAAGGCTATAGAAGTATGGTTGCATCGAATGCCGGCGTCAAAAATACCTAGATCCATAGTTTGTACTTATGAACTTCTGAATGCCTACCTTGAGCGTTCAAGTCAGAGTATGGCCTTAGCTCTTATGAGGTTCGTATCGCTAGTGTCCAGTGAGTCTCAAGATCGTGAGAGGCCAGGCTTTGCACTCCCAATTTTGTCACTTGCACGCAAGGCTGGCCTACCAAGCTGGTTGGCTGATCTCCGCAATGACGTGGCACATGGAACAATGCCATCTACTGATGTATTGGAGAGTGCGTTTTGGTGGTCTTTGAGGTATTTAGGGAATTTCTGGATGTTGAATGTGAAGTACCACGAAGAGAGAACGATCGAGTCGGAAAATATGTTGAAGAGCTACAGCTCAATGATCTGCAGTTATTTGGAGAGATTGTTGCAGGGGGAGGAGATAGCCATGCAATCAGACCTCAAAGAAGCGTTCACTAGTCGATTGTCACCGATGTGTTTATTGTATGTCACTGATCACGTATGTTACCATGGGTGTGATTTGCTAGCAAGTGGGTGTGCATTGAGCGATATTGTCGAAATTCAAGCCAAGAATCTAAGACCTCTGCTCGGTTTCCTGCAGTCCTGCAAACTTCTCAATGAGCTGGTAATGCAATTTATATTAGGTCTTGAAGATGACGATTCCTCGTTCATGGACATTCGATTGAATTGGTGTGTCGGTTGGGTGAAGGCAATCAGTCACAAGTCTGGTGGGACTACTCTGTGCGATTATGTAGACAAATTAGTGATTGACTGGAGGTTAGCATTTAACCATGTTCTGAACTGTGTGTGTGATAAGTTTGAGGAATTGGTTGTTGCTTTGTTGTCAACTCGCGACCCACCGATGTCAGATAAAAAACTGGAAATGATAAAGAGCCATATTAACGTGTTTTACGGCTACGGGATTTCTAACGCACATGAGAATATTCGAACTGGGCCTCAACCGGGGTCCCAATGGAATCTCTCGAAGTCATTATCGTGGTCAGAGAAGCCGCTTGGAGCGCTAATGAATTTACGTAATAACTTGTATTCTTTGACTTTAATTTCAGCTCAAGATGCCACGACAAGTGGACAACATAAAAGAATTCCTGCACATGACACAGAGGGCGGACGCCAAATGTAAGTTATTCAAAAGTGATGATAATTGTAACTTATACAGCTGTTAAAATCAAAGAGAATAAGGACAACGTCAAATTCAAAATTCGATGCAGCCGATTTTTATACACTCTTGTTGTAGTTGAAAAGGAAAAAGTTGGAAAGATTAAACGTTCACTACCTCCAAGTAATTATAATTGATTATTAGTTAATCCTGAATTTCCGTTTAGATCTCACTGTCAAAGAACTGTAATGTGCTGTTAACAAATAAATACTTTGAGAACGGAGTTGGTCTCATGATTTCCTGATGACAAAGTGTCTAGTGTGACGATGAAGAAAGTTAGAATCAGGGGGACGTGATCTGTAAGCGCGTGCGAGGCTGGGTTACAAACCCAACACCAAATAAAGTTTTAGTTGCTAACAGTGACGACTAAGAAGTCGATACGACTAGAGACTGCATAGTCACAGAATAAACGAGGTGTGAAGACTAGAGTAAGGCAACGCAATATCGAATTGCATAAAAATTTGTGCTTCGGTGCCAGTGCGAATAGATTTTTGAGGATCCGTTTGTGTCTCTAGAGACCTTGTAATTGGTCGATGCATTCCAACTGGACGACCTGAATTGATTCAGGTTATTCGTTGATTCTGGTCTCCCAGAAACCGGGAAGAGTCTCATAGCATGAAGGCGAAGACGGGGTAAATTGTGCTTCAAACCTACTGAGTTTACACGTCAGCATGCGTAAACTGTTCCACTATGTGGCTTCGAAAATCACGTAAATGTATGCGATGATAAAAGAGTGCAAGAATACCCTAGGGTGATAGCTCAGAAGCATCGTCATCACGTCAATTGGCTCGTCATTGAATTCGGTCGTGTAGGGGTTAGGGGTTTATCATGCTCGGGATGGTTTTGTCTGAGAAGTGATTGTAGCGTGAGTTGTGTGTTGGGTTATTTATTGTATGGTCTGTGACTGTAACTGTGACTGATTTTGTGTGAGTAGTGGTTTCGTTGGATGAGATATGTTGTGTCTCGGGGTGTGTTGCATTTCAGGGTTAGGAAAGGGTTGTCTGTGCGGACTAACTAGACGGTAGACTTTTGTCATGTGAGTGATTGATTTAGGTGATAGTCTGAGATGGGACAATGTGAGTGAACTTCTTGTTGTGAGGATTTATAAGTAGTGTGTTGGATTGTAGTGTGAGCTGGAGAGTGAGGTTGTGTGGGACTAAGTGTCTTGATGGCTGAGGGTCAGGGAGGTTATTTATGCGTGTGTGTAGTGTGAGAGTTCAGTGGGTTATTTCGGTGGGTGCTGTTTTTGTCCCTCGTATAGTGTTTGTGTGACTCGGAGAGTGTAAGTGAAGGGGATGTGGTTATCCCGGATCGGATGCCTGTGAAGTCGAGTGATTGATTTGACGACTTGTGGTGGTGTTAGCTGGTGTTTCAGCTAGTCAGTGGGGGAGATTCTCTTGGTGTTTTCTGAATGTGATTATTAGTCAGTGATAATGGGTGTATGAGGACGACAGGTGAAGGCGTGTGACTAGGTGAACAGTGCTTGATTTTGGTTGTCGTTTGCGCCTGGCTTTTGCCAGTCGACAAGTGAATGATGTCTAATTTTCCGAAATACTTGTGGTGAGATGGTGACAAATTTGGTGCATTTGTGTGGTAAGTCAGTGATATACTGGTGACATTATTTTGATTGACCTAGACTGCTGACACTGAATTCCCGGAGTTGACTCTGTGTGCTGACGAGGAGTTTTGTGTGACTGCGGCTGAAAATGGAGCTACGAAGAGGTTAGTTTTCTATCAGGACAAATTGTAGTTTATTATTGTTTATTATTGTCTTATTGAGTATGTGCTACGTGATGAGTGTATGACACCTCTTATGAGCTAGTGATTCGTGTTTCACACTGACTTCTTGTCTAAATTGGTTTTTCTGTCTGTTTTTCTTTCAGATGTCACCAGTGCACACTAGGTAAGCATGCCTATTCGAAATGCCATTTATGATGAACTGATTGCGTGTCATATGAACTTTGATTGATATGTACTATTAGTCTGATCGGAATTCGCACTGTTTTGTGTTGTTAGTAGTTTAGCTACATTTCAATGCTATCGTTAGAACGACAAGTCTTGTTGCTAAATATTTATTGAGTTTTGTTTTGCATTGTTTCCTAGTTGGGTTGGAACATGTTATTTTGGAGTTGTTGTTCTCGTGACGCTGAGGGTGTATGTGGACGGATGGGGCTTTCCGTTTGGCGCCTTGTAAGCTGGAATGGTTCCTACGAGTTGATAGTGCCACTCCATTCTGGCAGTCTGTGTGGAGGAGTATAAAGGAAGAAAAAGTATGATGATGCTTGTGATAAACAATGTTTAGTCGAATGTACAAAGCAATGTGAAATATAGATATTATTTGGAACGAAACCAGTTTTGAATTGTTGTCGTTGTTTATGGGGCTATGAGTCGAGGCTATCCATGTTAGTGTTGACTTTGTGACAGTTTAGTTTGCCTATATGTGAATAAAGATCGTAGGGTGTAAGAGACAGTAAGGTGAAGGGTATAGAAACAGGCGTCGTCAGTTCAATTGGATTGTCGTTGAATTCGATCGCCTAAACGTGTAGGGGTTAGGGGTTTATCATGCTCGGAATGGATTTGTCTGAGAAGTGATTGTAGCGTGAGTTCCAATATATATATATTTTTATTTATTCCTGTTTATGCAGGAACATACCAATTGTACAGGCATTGATAATTTATTATATAAATTATAGTTTGTTTGTTCAATCTAACATTAGAGTCAGTCAGAACAGTCTGCAAAATAGTCTGTCTGTGTAACACATAAAGAGATATAGAAATATTGTCTTCGCATTAACAAAAATCCCAGACTTCAGATGAATGTAATACAAATATCTGGGAAAAATAAAGCTTGAATTCAATTCTCCTATAAAACTTTGTTGTGAACAGCATCCGTGAGATAAAGTTTATTGATGTATTATTCTGAGTCAATAATGTATTTATTCCATTTTTGTCAGCAGTCTTATCGTAGTTTTATAATAGGAAAGAAATTTGATCTTTGATACGAAAATTAGATAAGGTAATGTTGGATTGTTTTACTGCATCAAATGGGATCAATTCTAGAACTATCCATTTGCGCCATTTGCGTCAGCATGGCAGACTGTACATGTGTAATGATATAAAAACTTGTATGAGATCACTAAACGAGTTTCCTATTTCCTATTTTTCAGGAAGGAACGCAGACGTGGCACTGTTGGAAGAAGAAGAAGTCCGATTGTCGAGACTTGTTATAAATGATAATAAATAACTCTGTTCCCGGTCAGTTTAAATCTTGCGTGGTGTAATAAAGACCTTTTCTTCCGCATCTTCGTGTTCTTCCTTCATTGGCTGTGTCTGTTGTCCGTGAGTGTTACATTTGGTGTCGGAGATGTTCCAAATTCAATTTCGACATGAAATCCGATTCTGCTGACCCTCCTGAAGTCAATTCCAACCATTAAGTCGACCCACCCACTTCAGCCCCAGAACACATTCAACCGATGCGCGGTCTTCCGATATTGGATATAAATAGCGACTACGAAATGTGGAAAATACGCATGGAATCTGCCCTAACTGGTCTTCCTGCCCACGCACAACACACCCAGCTTATGCTAGCCATGAGTGACGCCGCCCTTCGCCGTGCAATCACTGGGGGCTTTTCCGCGCTCAAGCCCATGAGCTACAATTGGCACATTCTCGACGAATGTTTTGCTAAGGATTCCAGTCCCTCAGTCTACATGCAAATTTTCCTTAGCCGCTGTCAAGAGCCCGGCGAAACAGCCGTCAATTACCTCCATCAACTTCGCGAGTTGGCAGCACACGCATTTCCTACCCTGGCCAACATGAGCCGAGACGACGCTGTTTGCAACCGGTTCGCACAGGGCGTCCTATCGCATGATCTCAAGTGCCAACTTCTACGTCAGCCAGCGAAATCCATCTCGGAAGCCATCGAGGTGGCTAAACGATTCGAAAGCGCCGAACGCTTTCTAACCCCATCGACCAGTACGTCTTGCCATGCTCTCGGGACCGTTGAGCGGAAGACATGCGTTCCCGCACAACGACAACGCCAGTTCAATGCCCCCTCAACCAGCCAACCTGCAAATTCCTCCAAAGATAGTGGCGACAGAAGTAAATGTTATTACTGTCGTCGGTACGGCCGCCGCGCATGGAAATGTGGACATAATAAGAAACCATCAGGTGAGCTACATTATAATATGTCTTCATTTGTTAAATGTTCGAAATCTCCCCTCCTCCTTGAGGGTAAACTGCAAGACATAGACGTCACCTTTCTGGTGGACACCGGGGCATCGTCCTCTGTCGTTCGCACGGAATTGGTTCGAAGACTCGGGGTCAAACCTAAACCTCTACCTACCCAACTACAGCTAATTACTGCCAATGGGGTCCCTATCAAGATAACGGACACTGCTATCCTCCCCGTGACGTTTCAGGGTTTTACTTGCTCTCAGTCGTTCGTCATATGCGATGCTATACGATGGGACGCCATACTGGGCGTCGACTTCCTAACGGGACAAAACGCTGTCATTGACTTAAGACGTTTTCGAATACGGCTAGGCACCCATAACCTTGCATTTGTTCAGCCAGTCAACCACAAAGAGCATGCCCATGCCTGTGTCTTGCCCCAGGTGACTATGGTGAATTTGCATGATAATCCTCTACTTAATCCCAAAGAACGTGCAGACACTCTGGCCCTGCTACAGGAGTACAGTGATGTCTTCGACGATGGACATGCAATGGGGCGAACTAATGTCGTACAACACGAGATTAAGACGGGCGATAACTTGCCCATTCGGGTACCACCGCGACGTGTACCTGTCCACTATCAACAACAGTTAGATTCCATGATAACGGACATGTTAAGGAAGAAGGTGATTAAACCGTCTACATCACCATGGGCATCTCCAATTGTTCTCGTAAAAAAGAAAGATGGTTCCCTCCGTCTTTGTGTAGACTATCGTCGCTTAAATGCCATCACCCAACGGGATTCCTTTCCTTTGCCTCGCATAGACTCCACCTTAGATGCTTTGGGTGGGGCACAGTGGTTCTCCACATTAGATCTAGCTTCCGGCTATTGGCAAGTTGAAATTCGTCCGGAAGATCGCCCAAAAACTGCGTTTGTTGTGCCCACGGGGTTGTACGAATTCGA